ATCATTATTATTATTATTATTAGATTCTATATGTTATTAGCATCATCAATATCGTTAGGATGAAGTCTATTAGTGAAGGTGAGGCATGACCAAGAACTTGTTAGTCTGGATCAGCTCTCTCTCTCTCTCTCTCTCTCTCTCTCTCTCTCTCTCTCTCTCTCTCTCTCTCTCTCTCTCTGCTCTGCTCTCTCTCTGCTCTCTCTGTGTCTATCTATCTATCTTCTCTTTTTCTCTCTCTTTCTTTTCCCTCTCTGTCCTCTCTGTCCTCCCTCTCTTTTGTTTCACTACTTTTTTGGTAAATTGTAATTGCAGGAGATGCCAACAATCTCAATAGCATGCTAGAAACTACTCTGAGAGAGCTGAAGATTTCATAGTCTTTCACTTTTATAAATAATTAATTTGGTTCAGTTCGGAGTGCTTAGTCATTGTGAATGCTCTAACACATTTGATAGGCTTTTCGGGTGTAAAAAGAATTTTTAACTATCAAAATTTGGAACAAATCTAAATCTATATTACTTGTTCCTGTGGACTAAGTGGCACAGAACTTGAATTCCAACTCACCATAAACTACAAACTTGGGCAAGGCCCCAACCACCATGAAGTATGTCAAGAGGCAAGTCTCAGGCAAGACACCTCCCCCCCCTTTCCAAGTATGCCGTGTGCTGCATGGGTAACAGGGCATGGGGGGAATTAGGTTATTATGAGTGGTGGAGACTAGTTCATAATGATGTAATATTATGTTTAAAAAATTATAAAGGTATCAAATCTGTTTCAAACAGGGCCGTTGTGTGATCTCACTTTGCTTTAATTATTTTCTTTTAATTAAATATTTTAACCGGATGTGAAGATTGATTTGTTCTGTTTAGTCCACAGATCTGATGGGCTTGATTGTTAACATTTTTAGAATGACAATATACTATTTCTGTTTTATTCCAGGATATTGCAAGTGACACATAACTATGTCGTCGCGGAGGGATAATTCCGCTCTAGAACAGTGTGTGGCCAGATTGAAAGATGGACAGGTAAGAACAATAACTTTTTAATAGCTGGTACTTTGTAAGTGTTGTAATTGATGATTTGGGCGTTGAAAACTAAGTGGCATCACAAGGTTGTGTAACTTTTACTCTTAATCTTTGTATGCTGCGTTTATGCTTTATACTGCTAAGACAATTATTTGTTTTTCATTTAGAATTGATTTTCTACTGTAGCTCAGTTTGGCTAATTTGAAACACGTATCACCTTTTTCTCTTCCCCTCTTGAAATATAAAGTATAAAGCTGGATATTTAAAATTTCTGCTCTGTATTTGATTCTGTTTTGATCTCTTTGCGAATAGAAATCCAATACTTCACAGCTATTATTATTCAGTCGTCAGCAGGCTAGTGTCATAACAGGCTAGTGTCATAACAGAACATATTGTGTGTATTTATTGTGCTGTACATAACATATTCAGAGCTTTTCAGAGTCTTTTTATGAAAAGTTAAAAATTGCAAGCTTTTTATGTAGTTGTTTACAAGCAGTGCATGGAAAAGATGAAAGCAAATATAATATCTTTATTACTGGTCTTCTTTCAATAGGATTAGGCTCAAGGGGAAAAGAGGCGGGAGGGGTGTGTTTTGAAATCTGGTGGCTTAAAAAATATGGATCTGGTTTGGCAACAGATTATATTTCATATTCCTGGTATTGTTATTTTAATTTTTAGTTTTGAATGACTCATCCATGCATCCTTCTTATGGTTTAAGCACTGTGCAGAGCTTAATGCAAGGGCTGTTTTTAATTGTGTAAGCTCTGAATTAGTTTTATTTGGACAAAGATTTATTATAATACTCTCTCTGTCTACTTTTATTGTCCTTATATTATGGTGTGAATACTGCTCTTTTTATTCGTATAGATCAATAATTACAGTTTCTTTTCTGGAATAAACTGAAGTCAGTAGTGTCTTTTCACGCCTTTCTTTTGAAGCATCTAGTGGTTGGAAGTATTTGGAATGATGAAGAGCTTGTGTGTTCAGCAAGCTTTTACAGTTTTATTCAGTGTGCATGTGTGTGTGTGTGTGTGTGTGTGTGTGTGTGGTGTGTGTGCGTGTTTGTGTGGTGTGTGTGCGTGTATAAGTGTTTGTGTGTGTGTGTGTGTGTGTGTGTGTGTGTGTGTGTGTGTGCTTGTGTTTAAGTGTGTGTGTTATGTGTGTGAGTATGGGTATGCTTGTGTGTATGTTTGTGTATGAATAGATATGTGCGTGTGTGCGTGCTTCTTCCATCCTCCCGTTGTCTTCATCTCTATCGCTGTCTCACTCTCTTTTTTGTCCCTCTCCCTCTCTCCTCTCTCTCTCTTTCTCTCTTTCTCTCTGTCTGTCTGTCTGTCTGTCTGTCTGTCTGTCTGTCTGTCTGTCTGTCTGTCT